TCCAACTTTCGGATCAAAATCTCACCTATCAACCGGAATTCGCCAAAATACTAACTTCGCCAATTCAAGCCTAATTCTACACCGGACCTCCAAAATTACTTTCGATCACACTTCTAAGTCACAAATTATCCCCCGAAGCTAACCGAATCATCGGGATTCAAATCCGAGTCCTCTAACACATAAGCCAACATCCGGTTGACTTTTCCAAAACAAACCTTCCTTAAAGAGACTAAGTGTATCATTTCCTACTAAAACCAATCCAAATCAACTCGTTCACACCCAACACTGATAATGAAGCATAAAGAAATAGGAAATGGGGAAACCGGGGTGTTAACTCATGAGACGACGGGTCGGGTCGTCACAAAGTGGGGTAAGTCTCTTGCCTAATTTTGTAAGAGGGAATTATCCTCGAAGTGCTTAAATTGTTATTTGATATTAGATGTGGATGCTACATACGCACGAAGTGATGAGAGTCCGTACGTAGCTAAAAAAATGCTTATGTTCGGTTAGACTTAGGATTTTATCATGCAATATTTGTACTATTTAAACTCAATTTGTTAGTTTGATTACTTGAATTTAATTTGATTAGGGATTATGTTAGGCCGATTTTCATTACCTGGAGTTTTGGCAGAATACTTGATTGTTGGTAAAAATTATGCTTTCTTTATGTGTCTATCCTTGTGTTGTAATTGTATGACTCATAGATCGAAGAGTTTCTCTATTTATGTGGATCAGACCATAGGCCTCGATAGTATATTTGGGATGCATCCATTGATTGGTCGTACGACCTCGGTAGTGTATGTACACAATTATTATGGATCGGGTCATATGACCTCGGCATAACTCGTGTGTAATATCGCTAAGAGTCAAAATATACTTGATATTCTTTCTTGACTTGAGATTTGATATTTACTTGATGGTACTTATTTGTTGAGATGTTACATATTATTTGGAGATTTTGGACTGTCATTATGTTAAAAGATCATGTTAATTATCATTTGTTATTACATTGTTAATGTTGTATTTTATGCCTGTTTATAGTTCTTGTACTTATTTATTGACCACTAGTAAGTGTCGATGTCGAGTTGTCGACCTCTTATCACTACTTCTTAGAGGTTATACTAGATACTTATTGGGTACGCGTTGATTTACGTACTCATGCTACAGGTCTGCACTTATTGTGCAGGTACTGAGGCAGGTACAATTGGTGGCCATTCAGGCGCGCATCCCCATTATCTACAGCCTTAGTGGTGAGCTGTTCATGCCGATCTGCAACACCTAGAGTCTCCTTCCTGTTATATTTTTTTCGGTCTATTTCATTTCAACGAATAGCTATAGTGGTAGATTGCTCATGCATTTGTAACACCGAATTTTAGAAAATTTCTAGTAGATGGTCACCTTCTAATTTTATGTTTTACTAATATTTTATATATATATCCAGGATTCTCTATGCATTAATTTTTTTATTTAATAAAAAGTCACAATTTTAAAAGTAATAAAATGAATAAGTAAATGGATAGTTAATAGTTGGCTCGCCTAACGACGACGTTGAGCGTCACCAAAGCCTAGAGTGGAAATTTGGGTCATGACAAGTTCATTATCCTTGACCGTATTTATTGTTTTAACTTTGTTATTCTTTCCTCTTATGTAGGAGAAAACACTGTGAGTGTAATACAGGGGTTGGGATCCCCTTCAGTATCAATTCGTCCAGTATTTCTCAATGGAATGGTAAGACATCGCCACGTGTCAATTCAAACTTTTAATGGCTAAGATTTGCTTTACATTTCATGAGTCATTTTTGTAGTACTTTAGGATCGAAGGAAAATTCCTTTATAGAGTTCCATTGCCGTGAACTTTGACGCCGGAAGCATAGATGGCTAGATGCGTAACCCAATATTCTAACTTACTCCAAGATTCCTTTTCGAAAATATGAGTTGAATTTGGATGTCCTCCCTCAATTTTCAATAATTCTTTATTTCATCTTTGCAGAAACATACCAATTTCATATTTTAATTATGAGTGAAAGTCACTAAGCATTGGATCATAGCATCACATACGCATTGCAAAATCATCATTGTCTTACCTTTGATGTCTCCTTCGATCATTTAGGGAAGTTTGTCCCAAAAAAAGTACAAGTACAAGATCAAGACAAACCTTCACGAACAGAGAAAAGAGGGGTGGCTGAAGGAGCGAATAGAAAGACGAGAGAAAAAAAACGGAAATGTTGCCGGCAACAAAGGTTCAGGTCATGTAAGTTGCAGTATTCCAGAAACAAGTTGTTGTTTGCTTTAAAATACTTTTTTTAGGCTTTAAAATAAACACAAAACGACTCACGAAATGTTAAGCAAATCTTAGCCTTACAAAAGTTTAGTTTAACACGTGGCAATGTCTTACCATTCCATTGAGAAATACTGGACGGATGGGTACTGGAGGGGATCTCAACCCCTAATACAGAACTTCTGCTTGAAAATTGTTTTCTCAGCGTTATGAAGAAAAACTCTAGAAGCTAGGGGTTCTCATATTTATCAAGTTCATCCAATATTTGATTAGCTATTAGAAATGAAAAAAATCCAGCAAATATTTTTGTCTGCAATTGTACTTTTTTCTATGATTAGGCGTTTACACGAGACTCTCCGTTGGTTGTTGACTTGTCAACCCCAGTGGATTCAGCTGCTGATCTTTGATTTGGTTAAGGAACATTCAGGTTTGTGTTTCTGAATTACTGTGTTGGTTATAAATTGTACTAAACTCCTCCTCTTCTTCTCCCCTATTCTTCCTTTCCACCGTACTGTCTGCGTACTCACTACCCTCCCAAAATTCTACCCGCATAATAACACTGGATATATTATTATTGTTGATGTTCAGTGATGGGAATGAAAGAACTATTGGGGAGCTTTTTCTTCTATACTTGCCAATGGAGCTACTCAACTTCAATATGCCGATGCACAGAAAGATACTGTATTGGTGGAAAATTAAACTTAACACGTGGATTAATGATGTATTGACATCTGGCCTAAGGTTTAGAACAATAAAGAAGATTGGAGGTCGGAAGAAAGGCATGGGAAAACGCCCACGAGGTTGTTTACAAAGAAACCGTATCTGACGGTTGGGAAAGAAGAGATAGTCGCGTGATACTCAATTAACGACTATAAGAGAAGGAATATTCATTAATAGTCGCGGATATAGAAAAGGAATCGACATGATCCCTGATTTGGTGGGATTGATTATTATTACCATAACCGTTACAAATGATTCAAATAACGAGCAATCAATGTAATTAATATTGGTAACAAGAGAGAATTAAGTGTAGCAAAGCAGTTACATATTGTATCTTTATATAAATTCCCCTCACCAAATTTTGTATGATCATCAAGGAATTCTCAATAAATACTAGTAGTTTTATTTCTTTGCTTGATTCTTACTATCTACTCTTGGAAGGAGGTTACGATTATCTATAAGATTTTCTTTCCTTTATTCTCTTAATATTTAGTTACCATTATTTCTTACATTTTTTATATTAGAGAAAGTGAAGTAGAATTGATTTTCTTTCCTTTATTCTCTTAATATTTAGTTACCATTATTTCTTACATTTTTTATATTAGAGAAAGTGAAGTAGAATTGATTTTCTTTCCTTTATTCTCTTAATATTTAGTTACCATTATTTCTGACATTTTTTATATTAGAGAAAGTGAAGTAGAATTGATCATTAGTAGAGCCGTCAATATGGGCTTGGCCCGTTGGGCCAGCCCGTGATTTAGCAGGGTTGGCTAGAATTTTTGGAGCCCGTTTAAAAATGAGGCTTTTAAGCCCGGCCCAAGTAAGCCCGTGACCCGTGAGGCTTGACTGAGGCTGGGCTGGGCGACTCGTGGGCCTAATAAAATATTTATTTAAAATATATAAAAAATAAAAAGTATATTGCCTTTAGAGGTGGAAAGTCAGAATTGGATCTTTACTAAGAGGAACCAAAACTTGATCTTGAGAAGTTTCAAGAGATAATGTTGTCATGTATTGGAAGGACCATTCTAGAAAATATTCCGATCTTTCAATGATGGTGCGTGATATATTTAGCATTCTTATTACCTACCATCGAAATAACCATTTAGCATTGGTGGCGTATTCTTACAAAGTACAGAAGTTGCATTTATTATGAAAATGTCCAAACACTTGTTACTACTCTAAATTGGCTGCACAGGTTTTCCCGAAATCAAACTGATAATATTTTTTTTATGTGAATTTAAATATTATTAATTTTTAAAATTTAATTATTGTTAATATTTAACTAATTAATATTGCATATGAATTGTAGATGAAAGTGAAGATGTTAAGACAACCTTGTCACAAGCAGATTCAAATGTGTTTGACGAAGATGATGTGTTGGATATCTCGTAAGCATCATGAACGTTCTCTTGAATAGTTTGTTTTAAGTTTTGACTTTTAATGAATGAAATATAGTCTTGTCTTTTACCTTTTTTAGTATTTATTGTGATATATTTGAACAATATAAAAAGTTATTAAATTTTGCAAATTTTTTCCAATAAGATATTTTTTAACTTTTAAATAATTATCTTTTTTTAGGTCAGAACTTAAAGAAAAAATATAAAATTATATTTTTAAAAATGATGGGTCGGCCCGTGGGGACCCGCGGCCCACATAGGGCTGGGGTGGACTGACCATTATAAGGCCCATAAAAATGGTGGGCTAGCCCAGCCCAGCCCGTCAATTGCTAAAGCCCACATGAACCGAGTTGGACTAGCCCGACCCATATCGACCGCTCTAATCATTAGAAACCAGATTTATTCTATATTGCTTTAACCACAAAAACTACTTTTTTGGTTAAAGAGATACCATTACCAAATTGAAATTATCTTAAAAGTACCCTATCTTTTGATTTGATATGTAGGGCATTGATGTAAATGATTTTGATATGTTTATTTTTCAAATTTGAAGGGGTCCCAACACCCCCATTGCTGCAGTAAACTAGAAAATTATGATGGGGTCTCTATCAAAAGAGAAAAAACTTTATCAGATGGTAACAAAAAACCTTTGATTAGGGATACTAATTCATGAAAGAAACATAACATTAATAATTACTCCTAATCCAACAGTAAAAATGGATTGAAAAGACTTTGAATTACATTGATCTCACACTCCTTCCCCTTTCTGATTCCTTTATCACTGCTGCGAATAGAAGCATCTTCCATAACCTGATTAAATGACAAAAGCAAGTAAACAAAGAAGTCTGCGTTGAATAATACTCCTATATTGATCTAAATGAGTAACTGAATTCGGATATGTATACATTACAAATGCAATTAATGTCCAAGTCAGATCTTTTAATAACATCATCTTTATATAACAAGGATTCATTATAACAACCAAGTTTTTCCGGAATGAAAATTCATGTTCTGTTATAATATACTCCCTCCGTTTCAATTTATGTGAACCTATTTCCTTTTTGATCCGTGCCAAAAAGAATGACCTCTTTCCTTATTTGGAAACAATTTACCTTTATGCAATGATTTATAGCCACACAAAATACATGTGCCTCATTTTACACCACAAGTTCAAAAATCTTCTCTCTTTTCTTAAGCTACGTGCCCAATCAAATGGGTTCACATAAATTGAAATGGAGGGAGTATATTTTTTATAATAGCAATTCGCTATAGCATCGAACAATATCTGAAACAAACGAGACTGTTATAAAGAGGTTTGCATGTATTTGATTTACTTACTTGGATCACTGAAGGTAACAAGGCCAGTGCCTTTGAAATCACAATTCCAGTAATTCCTTCCATGCATTTGGTAATATGTGTTCATCGCGTAAGAAGCATGAGCATGAATTTTATCAGGTTGAAAACAATCCCCATTTTCATAAATTTCTCTACAATCTACACCTCCAGGTCCACAACAAAAATCCAGCACTGCTTGTATTACCTTCTCATCTGCATGTGGTTTAGCCACACACCAAACTGAAGGTCCCCTTAACGACGCTTTTTCTCCGAAACCAAAACTGATTTTGCCATTAGTATTGCTGCTGCAGAATTGACAACTCAAATCCACATCATATACCTTTGATCCATCACCATTGAAAATCCCAAAATTTCTCTCACTTGTTCCTCCTTGTTTCTTGTTTTCGTTGAATAATGCAAAGACAAAAATATCAATGTTGTCTTTTGGGCTCATGGGAGTACCTTTATTTGACTGTGCACGTTCAACTAGTCGGGTGTTATAAGTCCTAGCATTATCAGTGGTTGCAGCGGTTTCTCCTTTATCTCCTTTAGACGGCCATCCAGATTCAGACACCATAATCTTAATTGTCCGGTTTCCAAAACCGAGTGCATTTACTGCTGATCTAATTGCATCAATTTGTGCATCTAACATGTTGGTGTACACGTAACCTTTAGGGTCACGTACCCCGGTTGCATTTCCGAGTAATGCGTACTCTAAATTGACCATACCGGGATTGTCCCGGTATGCAAAATACGGGTACGCATTAACCATGAATGGAGCACCGGTATCCGCCAAAAACCCGACAATGGAAGTCATAATAGGAAGGAGAGTAGTGGCAAATGTGGAAGATGAAGGTGGAAATGAAGAAGCAAGAACAGCCATGCTATGTGGTGTAGTCACTTTGATTTTTCGGTCTAGTCCACGTGCTAGTAAAACTGAATGCAGATTTTGCATAGCTTGGACCAAGGCATTATGGTCTAGTTTATCATCATCATTATCAGTGGTTAAATACTCATTTCCAACGGCAATGGCAACAATGGAAGTGGCAGGAATGAAGGGCAAGATACGAGCGGCGAACCACTCGTCAGCAGCAGATCGGGTGGCGCTTAAGTTTGAAACATGGGAGTTTTCTACAGCAACAATGAGGTCAATGGCAGTGTTGGAAAAGGCTTCAAGAATTTGAGGGTTGGTATCATAAATCTTAACCTTGTCAATGATGGTGGACTGAAGTAGCTGAGCCACTTTCTTTGGTGAGGGCAAATTGCTTCCAATTGTCCCATAGTTTATGCCCACGCCGTTAACAGGGCTCAGCAGGAGGAGAACGAGGAGTGGGAAAACAATAGTACTACAAAGGAGAGACATTTCCGCCAACTAGCGGTTAATTTTCCTTATGGGGGTGTGCATATGTTATGTATCTTATGGGAAAATCTTACAAAATTTACATGATTAACTATTACTGTGTCATGTGAACTATGGCAATTGGTCAAAGTTGTGGACTATTTGGGTGGGTCAGTTTGTGTCCAAAAGTGCTTACACAATTATGAGTACCCAAAGAGCTAAGCTGGATGGATTTGAAATCTTGCAATTGCAAAGACGAAAATGTCAAAAAAGGCGCTGCGCAAAGTCGATGTTAGATTGAAATCCGTGCGTTCTGCATCCAGCTAGTTGGAGTGACAGTGTTTGTGAGAAGGCAGGTCCCAGCTCCTCGACTCATCTCCCTCTGGTATCCAAAGAGTTGTTACTTTCACTTTGTTCTCTCTTTGCTAGTGCTATAGGTTTTAATTCTCAACTAGATAGGATAACAAGCAAATTTTTATTTTTTTTGGTTGTAATTGGGTAACAAGCAATTTCAATGGACTGCCTTTGATACATTTAATCACTACGCCACGCTACGTGTTTAAATTAAATCTCTCTTTTATTCTCTTTTTGATGATCGTGAAATTCGCCTAGAGCTAACCTTTAGGACTAACCACTTCCTCCTATATTCGGAGATAACAAGTCTACCCTTCTATCCTTCTTCACTTAAATACAAGGTGTTAACCCCTCGACAAAGTTCCTCGGCAGATGTGGATTGTGACAAGGATTTTCATGATGGCCTTGGCACACAACCTGAAAAATGAGGCAACAACATGACTGGCAGCTCAGCATGACAGACTATGCGGGGTTGACAAACGCACCTTGACGGAGGAAAGGCGCATTTCACATGGACGTGCGGGTTGGCATAACAATGGCAAGGCAAAGCCATGTCAAAACAGGGGCCAAGACATGGCAAGGCAAGGCAAGACAAGCAATAACATTGACGTGGGCAGATTTGATCAAGTTGACTTGACATAAGCGGGCAGTTATGGTAATGGCGTATGCAGCTAAGTCAATGGGCGGCAAGTTGTGGCCATGACATTGAGGTGGAGCAGTGTCAAAGGGTAAGGCTGGGTGCAATGCCAGCCTTGGACGCGCAGCAGCTGGGCAAAACAAGCACATGCAGTGCACAAACAGCAACTACAAAAAGTGTGCAGGGCATATGACAGGGAAGTTGGCGGTTATAACCACATCCAAAGCATGACTGATCATGGGGCTAAAGTGGATGCACATTTTTTAGCATGTCTATCATGTTTTCTCATCAGTTAGGGCTTGTCAACTGATTGGTTTAGATGCTGCCAAGTATAATTGGGCAACTTGCACTATATGTGCATAAGGCAGTCCCAAAGGGGCAAAACTTAGTCTTGTAGAAAAATTGTTAGCCAAACTCGTCTAAGTGTATTCTTAAGGGTGGAAAATCATTTTGGGGCAAGGTGCCATAGGGTTGGCTTTATTGTGTTCTTATATTCACATTAATACGAGTTGGGAAGAGACTCCTATAAATTTCGCGTGTGCCTTTACTTTACTTGTTGCCTAAATTTTCTAAGTCTTAAACATCCCTAAAATTATTCTAAGTTGTTGAAAGGCTGAAGTCAAGGCTGGACTTGACTGTCGTGCAGTGGTGAACCTCGGGCAGAATTCGAGTGACATAAATTACCCTTGTGACAACTTGTATCAGAGCGTAGTTGGATCGTGGTGAAGACACGACGTTTAGTGGTTGAATTTCGTGAAAGATGGTTGGTGGCAACGCAAAACTAAGGAAAAAAGTTGTTGCATTTAAGGCACTCGTCGGTACTGTTAATGGTGATCAATTCCTGACTATTGTGACTCGTCTCGCGTATCTTGAGGCAGAAATGAACAGGCTAAGCCAGGAGTGTATATATCTGAAAGCGAAAAATGGCTTAATGTGTCGTGCTGTTGGCAATAATGATACGCAGCGTGGGGTAGATCGTATCAAGGTCAAAATACCTGAGCTTAAAGAGTTTAATGGTGCAAGGAGTGCCAAGAAACTCGAATATTTCATGTGGGATATGGAGCATTACTTTTAGGCTGCCCATGTGCGAGATGAAGATAAGGTCACCATTACGACTATGTACTTAGTGGATAATGCAAAGCTTTGGTGGCGGACGCGTGTGGCAGACAATATAAGTGCTGGTACCTCTAAGATAGACTCTTAGGAAGGGCTAGAAAAAGAGTTGAATGATCAATTCTTCCCCAGCAATGCGGACTGGATTGCTAGAGATCGTTTGAAAAAGTTAAAACAAACTGGAACGGTGAGGGATTATATCAAAGATTTCAGTTATTTGATGTTGGATATAAGCAACATGTCCAAGGAAGACAAATTGCACAAATTCTTGTACGGGTTGCAGTCGTGGGCGCGGATGGAACTCCGAAGACAGAACGTGAAAGACCTTTCTAGTGCCATCGCTGCTGCGGATGCTTTGGATGATTTTTGGCTGGGACAAGACAGTCCTGATTTCTCTACACTTCAAAGTCCAAAAACGGAAACAAGGAAAAGGCAAAAGAGTGGAGGAAAAACAGTAATGACAAGGGAAATGTTATTGAGGGTAGTGGCAATGGAAAGGAACGACAATGTGTTGGACCTTCGACAACCAAGGGACAAAACAACAAGATTGGTGGTTATTTTATTTGTAAAGGACCACATATGGCGAGGGACTATCCGAAACTTGAACGGCTTACAACATTGTTTGATGATGAAAAAGGTGAAGAGGAGCTGAACGAGGAAGAACATGAGCAGGATACAACATATTTAGGGCCTATGGTGGTGCTGGAAAAATGCGAAAACTACTTCGAGGACAACAAATTCTTCGGGAAGGGGTGATTTGTTAGCCCCTTGACAAAGTTCATTGGCAGATGTGGGTTGTGACAAGGATTTTCATGATGACCTTGGAACACAAATTGAAAAATGGGGAAACATCATGATAGGGCACAGCATGTCTGACTATGCGCGATTGACAAACACACCTTGATGGAGGCAAGACGCATTTCATATAGACGTGTGGGTTGGCATAACAATGGCAAGGCAAAGTCATGTCAAAGCAGGGGCCAAGACATGGCAGGGCAAGACAAGCAATGACATTGACCTGGGTATATTTGATCAAGTTGAGGGCGACTTGACATAAGCGGGCAGCTATGTCAATGGGCGCGTGCGGTTAAGTCATGGGCGGCAAGCTGTGGCCATGACATTTGACATTGGAGCGGAGTAGTGTGAAAGGGCAAGATTGGGCGCAATGCCAGCCTTGGACGCGTAGCAGCTGGGAAAAACAAGCACATGCAGTGCACAAACAACGGTTACAAAAAGTGTGCAGGGCACATGACAGGGCAGTCGGCGGTTACAACCACATCAAAAGCATGACTGATCATGCGGCTTAAGTGGATGCACGTTTTTGTAACATGTCTATCATGTTTGCCCATCAGTTGGGGATTGTCAACTGATTGGTTTAGATGCTGCCAAGTGTAATTGGGCAACTTGAACTATAAATATGTGCATAAAGTTGTCCCAAAGGGGCAGAACTTAGTCTTGTGGCAAAATTGTTAGCCAAATTCGTCTAAGTGCACTCCTAAGGGCAGGAAATCATTTTGTGGCAGGGAACTAGGGTGTTCTTTGTTCTTGGCCATAGGGTTGGCTTTATTGTGTTCTTGTATTCACATATTAATACGAGTTGGTAAGAGATTCCTATAAATTTTGTGTGTTCCTTTACTTTACTTGCCGCCTAAATTTCTATGTCCTAAACGTCCCTAAATTTATTCTAAGTTGTTGAAAAGCTGAAGTCAAGACTGCGCTTGACTGCCGCGCAGTGGTGAACCTCGATCAGAATTCGAGTGACATAAATCACCCCTGTGATACAAGGCTCAGTTAGCATGACTCAAACTTGTGTATGTCTACATTAAGTGGGCATTTGGACATAAATTGTGAAATTCCGGAAAAAAGTGAACTAAAATTTCAAGTGAAAATGATATTTGAAAATTAGAGTTGTGTTTGACATGAGTACAATTTGGAGCTACTTTTGAATTTTTGTAAGTGATTTGAAGTGAAATCTTGAAAAATAACTTTCTGGAGTTTTTCAAATTTTTGAAAAATTCAGAAATTCATCTTCGAGTGAAATTTGAAAAAATTACATGGCCAAACAGAGATTTCGAAAAAAGTAAAAAATTCTTATGGACAAACAGGCCCTAAGTGACATAAGAATTGTAAAATTTCAAAAAAAGAAATGTAAAATAAAATTCAAATGAAAATAGTATTTGAAAGTTAGAGTTGTGTCTGGACATGAATATAATTTTGGGTTGTTTTTGAGTTTTTGTGAGTAATCTGAGTGAAATTTTTGAAAATCATACTTTTTCGAGTTTTTCATATTTTTGAAAATTTTCAAATTTCATCTTCAAGTGAAAATTGAAAATTTTATGGCCAAACACTGATTTTGAAAAAAAAAGTGAATTTTTTTCGAAAAGTAGTCTCGTACAATAATAATATACTAGCAATGAACTTTAGAATGAATAAAAAAGAACGTGAAAATTGCACGGGACGCCCTATTTGGTCGCCCCATTTAACATATACCTATTTTTTAAAAAGTTTTAACTTGTACCCACTTTTTAAACAACTTCAACCCTCTTTCTCCTCCTCCTTCTCCTCCTTTGTTTTCTTCTTCTTCTTTCTTCTACTGTTGTTGGTGCTGCTATGAAACTTTAGTTCATGGGATGATTGCCATAAGTATGTTTATCAGATTATTTAAAAATAAATTATAAATAATTACGTAAGTTAGTAGACAATAATTTGTGAATTTTTCACGTACGGGAAGTTTAAGATCACACTTAGTGATTCTTTTCATGATAATTCTGTTCTTTTCACGTTTATTGTTTCCAAAATTTATGATTTAGATACTGTTGGCAATCTGATTATTTTACAGTAGTAATATACTATGAAAGAATAAGGTGATTATTTATATATTATGTTAGAAAGCTTTTTCAAAAACTTCAGCTTATATAGTGCTGAAGTTTTTACAAATGAACTAAATAACTTCAGCATCTTCTACTGAAGTTTACGAAAAAACTTTATGACAAAACTAATGAATCCAAGACAAAAAAATTTCAGCTTATTTAGTGCTAAAGTTTTTACAAATGAACTAAATAACTTCAGCATCTTCTACTGAAGTTTGCGAAAAAGCTTTATGACAAAACTAATGAATCCAGGACCAAAAACTTCAGGTTATTTAGTGCTGAAGTTTTTACAAATGAACTAAATAACTTCAGCATCTTCTGCTGAAGTTTTCGAAAAAGCTTAATGATAAAACTAATGAATCCAGGACAAAAAAACTTCAGCTTATTTAGTGCTGAAATTTTTACAAATGAACTAAATAATTTCAGCAATTACAAATAAAAACTTCAGCAAATAGAGAATAAAACTTCAACAATTACAAACAAAAACTTCAGCACACTAGGTTTAGCAATTTTTGCTACTTCAGGCCCGTCTACTAGAATGCTGAAGTTTGCGTGATTGTCTTTGCTACTTCAGGTCCGTATGCTGAAGTTACGCGAAAAAGTGGGTACGCTTGTAATTTCTTTTACAAAGCGGGTACAAATTGAAAGTGTGACCCACAAAACGGGTATAGATGCAAATGCCCCAAAAAGAACATGATCCCTGATGAACGTAGTTGAGAAAGGCAGCAATGCATACAACAAATTCTTGTCGCAGCCTTAAGAACAATTGAGCAACGTCGTAATACCCTCGAAGATTTCGGAACGTAAGAGAGTTGGAAAAAGAAAAATAGAGAAATTTGACTTCAATGAATTTCTATGCTACCAATCACAAAGGTAGTTACAAAAGCCCGCACCAGAAGGTAACTCCAGAAGATATATATCAATGTACAGTCAACCAAATGTATATAGAGGCAGAAGAGAGGTATGGGCAGTGTGATAGAAAGGATTATAAGCATGTAAATTAGCATTTGAAGCTTGCACCACATTCATATAAAAAACAGAGATTGTAATTTTATTCCTCATTTTTAGGTATCATCTCATAGCGAAGATCAACTACACTAAAAATGCAATCAAGAATACTCCGAATATGCTCTATCATCTCAACTGAAGAGTCGATAACTTCACTTGTCCAAGTCAGGATTCTTAAACTACGGCTTCAACATCATCTGGGTTCCCAGTAGCTCCATCTTCAGTGTCTTCTGACCTCAACTGAGCAGAAATGCCATCAATAGAAGAATTAATCTGTTCAATCTTCTTTGCAAGTATCTTGCGTTGTTTCTGCAGGGAGAACATACACATTTCACAACTAGGAAAAGAAAAAAGAATATTGTCATCAGCTTGCGGGGTATTTAGAATTCCACAGTTCCAGCCCATGAAATAGCAACAAATTATTGATTCCAGAAAGGAGGAGACTATGCAGAATAACAAATTCAGATAATGGTGACAGTTTTGGTTCATCTTTTCTTTAGCTAAGGGTCTATTGGAAACAACCTCTCTGTCCGTCCACCCGTCCAGGGTAGGGGTAAGGCTGCGTACATCTTACCCTCCCCAGACCCCACTTGTGGGAATACACTGGGTCGTTATTGTGGTTGTTGTTGGTGACATAGTTTTGGTGGAGCAAGTCATTGGCTTCTTATGTCATTAAAAATAAAAGAAAGTAAGAGAAACCCCGAACCAAAATAAAGTGAAGAAACTTTTGGATGCTGCTTGTTAACTTGTTTAGAGAACACCTAAATGGGTTCACTGAGAGACAAAGGATAGCAGCCATGCTAGTTATTTAGAAACTTGTTATGAGGGTTTTGTCCAGTATCAGAATGAAGTAGAACTAAGAAAGTTTAGTTCTAAAACTGTAGAACACCCCACATTGGTAGCCTCAAATCCTAGTTATCCATGCTTGTGTGCGCGTGTTCACGTCCCTCAGGGCTCAGGATATCTTTTTTGGGAGAAGTTTTATTTTGTCATATAACTGACACTAGTTGTATGAGGCTCCTTTTTGTCTCACAAATTTGTGGACCCCAATCTTACACTTCTACGTCCACAAAACTATGAGACAAAAAAGTTATCTCATACCACTAGTGTTAGTTGTATAAGATACAAAATAAAACTTTTCCTTTTCTGCCATTTCCCCTTCGCATCGCAAATATAATTGGCACATATTTACATTTTTTTCTGATTGGTAGTTCATAACTACATACTATCTATTACCGACTTGTCCAAGTACAATACCCTGGTCACATAATCTGCTTCTATTTGGGTTATTTGATTTCAAATTCTCCCAAAATTTTAACTAGAAATGATTGCACTCTCGGTCCCTCAGTTATCAACCAATTCCAATTTTTGTCCTATGTGATATCTAACAAAGCCCATTTATTCATATTGTCCTCCCCAACATATTCCTGTAATTTCAATGGACCACGTGAGTAATCGTCTTTTTAAAGAGGGGATCATTTAATACTTTTATTCCATATCCAAGTTCACGAACTATTAGATGACAAGGATATGTTAGTGGACAGACCAATGAACATTAAAATATCAAGTTCAAAACTTAAGAAGTTTATCCAAGTTCACGAACTATAAATGGCGAGGATATGTTAGTGGACAGACCAACGGACATTAAAATATCAAGTTCACAACTTAAAAAGGTTTTGACAATAACTATAGGACCAAAAGCATTTTCCCTAAAACTTAAACAAATAAATTTACTATTTAGAGGTTGAATCGTGTCACCGTCTCATGTACACTCTTTAACTTTATTAGAGATGAGACTCTTTAATTTATTTATATTAGGTGTTCTATACACCATTTCATGCGCGGTTATTATTCCTTTTAGGGCTAAGCACCTGAAAATATTTTGTTGATAAAACTCGAAGGCAAGACTCCTGTTTAGGATGTTGAATTATGTGGCGATAAACTTATTTATTTATATTGCATCTTAAACATAGGTAAATTTGACCATAAGAAATGTTTCAGATTCATATAGTATTTAGCTTTACAACTACAACCCACGAGGATTTTAAATGACGCTAAAATAGAATTTGGAAGAGCTACTGAAAATGGTTACAAAGCTTAGATTTCTTTGGATAAGGTAAATAATTATTGATGTTGCCCAACAACCAGTACACCGAAAAAGTAAAGAACTTGCACCAAAATATGATTCTCTACAAAAGCCACCTAATCAACAAAATGCTTACATTTTAACAGGAAGAGTCAGCTCATTAAGTTATGCTTGGAAAATAGAAGTGATATGTGTAAATCTATGAATTTCAGATCATTTGAATCCAAACAGAGCCTAGGTGGATGCACTATATATACACAAGCAGAACCACCAAAGAGGAAGACAAATAGGAGCTCTATCAGGAATATGCACATTCAGCTTTAAAACTTTATCCATTCTTTAAATTATTCATGATATACGTTTCCTGCTTCCTAATGCAAGATATGTAGAAAATCAGCCTACCTCCAATTCCTTTTCTTCATCATATATAAACTTGGGCAATTTTTTCATGATGTCCTCCTTATCTGTTCCAGATATTGCTTTACTGATCTGTAAAAACAAAATTAGAGATAATTGGCGCATTTACAAAAGAGAATAACTGAAAAAGACAATCAACTAGTGATAGACTGGATGTATTTGTAATGCTTAGAGCATAGAAAACTAAGGCAGTGACGATTATAATACCCCAAAATTAAAAGGGTAGTTTGGTCATTTAATCCAATAAGTAAAGTAAACAATAAGAAGATAGATAAAAAAACCAACAAAGTCGCAAACACCATTCTGGTGCTTTCTCATTCTTAACTTGGGAGAACTAAGGAAGGGGGCTGCCAAGAGAGCCAAGGTATTCTCTTCAATACAAAGGAAAGAAAAATCTTAGAAACTCAGGTGGGAGTAAGGAGGTGAGATAAGAACTTTCGGGAAGAGGTCTCCACTATCTGAAACCCTATTTCTTTCACTTTCTAACCGTTGGGAAGAAGACCCAAGCTTTAATTAGGGAATCTTGGTTGGGCTTCAGATGCAACATTATTCAGGGCTGGGAATGGAATTAGCTTCTAAAGTCACGGGTGGAGCCGAAGGGACCAATTGAGGATTACATTCCTTTACATTTACAGGATATCGAGCCAGTGAGAGATGACTATTGGAGAGCCGAGGTATGCAAGGAGGAGATCCATGGGACCTGAGGCTTAGGAGGAACGTGCAGGACTTTTAGATAATCAAATTCCATAATGGAAATGCTTTACAAACACAAGATATGACAGACCAGCCAGGACCAGTGCATTTAAAAGAGAGAAGTGCCAAAAAGTGACAATGTAACGACCCGACCGGTCATTTTGAGCTTTTGCACTTCGCTCGCCAGTTCTCGGGCATGACTAGCACCGTGTGATGTATTATGACTTATGTAATCGTCGATTTTGGTTTTCAGGGTAATCGGAATGAATTAGGAAGAACAATTCTCAGTTTGAAGCTTAAATTTGAAAGGTTTGATCAAGTTTTGACTTGTTAGTATATGATCTCGGATTTAAATTTTGATGATTTGGTTAGCTCCGTTAGGTGATTTGGGACTTAGGAGCGTGATTGGAATGTATTTTGGAGGTTCGTGGAAGGTTTAGGCTTGAATTGGCGAAATTGGGATTTTGGCGTTTTCCGGTTGATAGGTAAGATTTTGATATAGGGGTCGGAATGGAATTCCGGAAGTTGAAATAGGTCCGTTGTGTCATTTGTGACGTGTGTGCAAAATTTCAGGTCATTCGGACAAGGTTTGATAGACTTTTTGATCGAAAGCGGAATTTGAAAGTTTTTGGAATTCTTAGGCTTGAATCCGATGCAAATTTGGTGTTTTAATGTTGTTTTGAGCGTACCGAAGGTTGGAACAAGTTTGAATGATGTTATGACATATGTTGGCATGTTTGGTTGAGGTCCCGAGGGCTTCGGGTGCGTTTCGGGTGGTAAATGGATCAATTTTTGGACTTTGGACTAGGCAGATTTTCTAGTATTTTGTTGCAGAGAAATCCTTCTTCGCGTTCGCGAGAGGTTCTCGCGTTCGCGAAGGGTTAATGAAAGGGGCAGTCAAGTTGTTCTTCACGTTCGCGAAGGTGTGTGAGTTAAGGCTACGCGTTCGCGATTGGTGTTCCACGTTCGCGTAGGGTCGAGCGGTGAGGTCAACGCGTTCCCGTGTGGCCCTCGCGTTCGCGAAGGAGAGAATTTGGCCAGTGAAGCTTTGAGCTTCCCGAACGAGAGGGTGATGTCGCGTTCGCGATGAAGAATATATATTTTTAAAATTGAGGGTTTGGTCCATAACTTCAAAATTTCATTAAAGAGCTCGGGAGAAGGTGAACTTTGAGGAGATTTTTAGTGGAGCTATTGGGGTAAGTATTCTTCACTCATATTTGGTTTAATTCCATGATTTAGTCTTGAATTTCATCATTTAATTTGAGAAATTAGAGTGAAAATTGGGGAAAAATGGAAGAAAAGTTTGAGAATTCTTTTGGGGATTTGAATGAGCAATTGATGTTGGATTTTGATGATTTTGGTATGTATAGACTCGTGAGAGGATAAGGATTTTATTGATGTGACTTTTATCGGATTCCGAGACATGGGCCCGGGGTCGGGTTTGGCCAATTTCGGAATTTTTGGTATAAATTGGATATTTTCGAATGGGCTTCGTTCCCTTAGCTTATTTTGATGGTATGAATCTGCTTTTGGCTAAATTTGGAGCATTTGGAGGCCGAGCCGAGAAGCGAAGGCATCGCGGGCTAGAGTTTGGACCGGATCAAGATAAGTAATGATTGTAAATGCTGTCCTGAGGGTATGAAACCCCAGATTTCACATCGTTGTGCTACTTTAAGGTGACGCACACGCTAGATGACGAGCGTGGAGTCATGCACCGTTGGGGATTGTGACTTGGTCCGTCCCGTGCGACTGTTAAGTCGCGTATTTGATTTAAAACTGTTTGATATCATTGTATTCTGAAAAATATTGCTATATTTTGGGCGGAATGCCATATTTGGGCCTCGTGCCAACTGTTTTGGACCCTTATGGGACTTTTACTACTTTTCCTCACTGTTTTGACTTAATAATTGTACTCAATCATGTTGTATTTTAGTAATTTTCTAACTCAGCCTTATTTACTCAATTTTACACTATAAATGATATTTGAGCTGAACGCCCTGTTTTATTGATAGTCCGAGTGACTTGTGAGGTTGATGGCTGAGAGAGGCCGAAGGCCTGATTGTGAGGTTAATGACTGAGAGAGACTGAGGTCCTAGTTGTGAGGATTATATATTTATGGATCGGGCTGCATGCCGCAGCAATATATATATATGGATCGAGTTGCACGCCGCAACGATATGTTGGATCGGGCTGCACGCCGCAGCGATATAGCGCTTGGGCTGTAGGAGCCCCTCCGGAGTCTGCACACCCCCAGTGAGCGCAGTCGACTATAAATATGGATTGGGCTGCACGCCGCAGCAGTTATTATATGGTAGCTAAGATCTTCAAGCTTAGAAGCAGTGAACTCATTTGGATAATATGTAGCAAGTTTCATAATCTTGTTTTTATCATAATTTGCAAAAGAATCATCGGGACTCAAACTAACCATACCAAGAAGCAGAGCAGTATTCACTTCACTAAAACGACTTCACTAAAACGACTGTTAAGCTCTGAAAGTTGCAAATCGATAACAACACAAAAAACCTCTACGTACAAATGATGGAAATATGTAACAATTGAGCTTTTACGCTTCGACTTTCCAAGTGCATACTTCTCATCCATTTTTGGGATTACAATACCATTCTTATCACATAACGAAGAGACATCTTCTATCAAAGAATTCCATTTAGATTCTCTCATTGTTTGCAATTGCCTCTTTGTGAAATCAACAAGTTTCATTGCACTAACAATATCTTTATCTTTTTTTTGTAGGGCCATATTCAAATCATATGTAATTGCCAATAGTTTTTACATCAAATGTAATATACAAACGAACTCATAAGATCTTATATCTTCCACTAGACTTTTGGCTAATGCTTTCTCCTGATAATTTGAACCCTCATTTGCAAGAACTCCAAGTATATGAACAATCGATGAGAATAAAGAAATAAAGTTACGCAATGCCTTAAAGTGAGATCCCCAACGGGTATCACCTGGTCTTTGAAGCCCAAGTTCTTGATTTAATCCACTTCTTGTATGAACTTCACCAAGCACTAATAACTCATCTAATTTTTCTGCTTGATCATCTCTAAGCATCTCCCTATGCTTATAAGAACCTCAAACAACATTCAAAACATTAGCAAGAATGTCAAAAAAATTATTTACATCATGGTGTTTCTTTGCAACAGCTACAAGAGTCAATTGCAACTGATGAGCAAAGCAATGTATGCAATGTGCCGAAGGATTATCTTTCAGAATCAAAGTTTTAAGACCATTGATGTTTCCTTGTATGTTACTAGCTTCATCGTACCCTTGTCCCCGTATTAGAGATGAACTCAATGAATGTTGTAAAAGCAAAGAATATATTTCTTTTTGTAATGCATGTGCAGTTGTACCTTTAACATGAACAAGACCAAGGAATCGCTCAATAAGTTCACCCTCTTTATTGACATAGCGCAGAACAAGAGCCATTTGTTCCTTATGAGAGACATCCTTAGACTCATCAACTAATATCCCAAAAAAATCCCCATTCAAGTCTTCAATAATTGCTTTCACCGTTTCTTTTGCACAAGAATTCACAATATCTTTTTGAATATCAGGAGAAGTCATGGTGTTATTTTTTGGAGCTTTTTCTAATACCACACTTTTCAAATCTTCCTTCCTATCTGCATACCATTTTAAGAGATCTAAAAAATGGCCTCTTCTAGTAGAAGTTACACTCTCATCATGGCCCCAAAAAGGAATTCCTTCTTTTCAAAAGATACCTTATCACTTCAATTGAAGCATTCAAACAAACTCGATGTTCACTTTTAATTTTCTCAGATTGCTTGTCCAAAGAAGTTAGAATAGATTGTGCTTGGTTCGTCAAAACTAGCATCATCTTGAAACATCAATTATGAACACTACTCACGTCACCCACATGTGATTTATTTCAACCTCTAAAACCATCCGTTGTGAAAGCATCACCTACTTTTTTTCCATATCCTCCAATCTCATTTTTAAACAAGTAACAACATAAACAAAATGTTGCATCTTGTTTAATGTTATATTCTAACCATTGAGAACATGAAGTTTTAAACCATTCAGGATTAAAGTGACGCATTATTCCTCCAAAATCTCTTTTTGGAAAGACAAAATCAAGAGGTTGACAAGCTCCATTTTGTATATAATTTCTCCTTACACGGTCAGGTAAATTAGGAGGATATTCTGAAATTGGTTTTCTTTTAGCAGGATCGGGCTCATAATCCCACACTTTATCCGATGCTTGGGAAGGATTAATATTGTTATTAATAACTGGACATGGGGAACTTGTCAAAGGAGAGCTAGAAGAAGCTGCAGAAGCTTGAGCTTTGTAAAAATTCGGATCATATCGACTTTTGCTAGAAAAACCTAAAAATCACAAAACACAAATTCACTTGAAGTTGTATGTTTCAAAATGCTATAACAAACTATTCTTCATCTCCTTTGACATAGTTCAATTTGTAAACTATAATATGATTTATTCCCAAAAATTTAAAAACTTAGTCTGGCTAGCTAGTTCCAATAAATTGACAAAGAGAATAAAGGTCAAATTGTGGGACAACCCTAGAATCAAAGATTACAGTCAATCAATTTATATGGCCCATTAAGTTGTTGATGTTGAATTACCAATTCTAACTTGAACTTAGAGTCAATCAATTAATTCAGTTACTTATGGAATCCTTTGATAGAAAATCTCATCAAGTATTAGACAAAGTAAATAATCCTGTTAGATTCTGAAATGTTGGCCTTATAAAATTATTCATAACTTTAGTCCTAAAATAAAATTCCTTCCAGCGAACCCACAGCCCTATTTTCAAGTAAATAATCCTATTTTCCTCTATGCATAACAGCTAGGGGTGTTTATAAAAATCCGAAAACCCGAACCAAACCGAAAACCAAACCAAACTGACCAAAAAAACCGATACTTTTTGGTTTGGTTTGGTTTTGGTTTTGAAATTTAAAAACCGATCAAATTTGGTTTGGTTTTGGTTTTAATTAAAAAAAAAACGAACCAAACCGAATATAGGAGTAGCTATTTTTAAATTTATTATTACACCTATATATATGTATAGTTTTATACAAAGTTTTAAAAATTTTATACTAAATATTAATCGTTTGCACTTTTAGTACAGTTCTTTATCTTTACATTCTAGTTTAATGGGTAGTTTTCTTTTGTTAAGTGTTAAGAATCTATTTCATGTTAAAAATAATATATTTTTAATTGAGTCCTTAAATTATTCATCACTATTTGATTCAATTATCATCAATATATCTTGGTAAATAATAGATTTCTCAAAGGATAACTGATTTGATAGTCTTACGTTGAAAATGTGTGTTTGGTAGTGTATGTCTTATATTTAAGAAAAAATCAACAAATAACCAAAGAAACCGACATAAACCGAATCGAGAAAAAACTGACTTAATTGGTTTGTATGGTTCTAATATTTAAAAAAACGACTTACTTGGTTTGGTTTCTTTTTAGGGAAAAACCAATCCAAACCGAACCATGAACACCCCTAATAACAGCATAAGAGCAGCTAATTAAAGTAAATTGGATTCTCGGTAAAAATCAAGATTAAAAATCAAATTTGCATAAATTATCAAATATAAAATATAAGATAAAAACATGAAGCAAAAAATCAGAAAATAAGAATTGAAGAAGGAAGAACTAAGAAGGGTCTAACTTCTAAGGGAGAAAGAGCATACACTGATACACAGTGGAGAGTTGGAGGCAGAGGCAGATTGTGGTACCAGTGATTGTCAATCAACAGAAGCAGCAGAACCCTAGTTTTTTTTTATTTGGGAATTGGAAGAAAAAGTTTGTCGTTTAAAGTTGGGAAGCTTCTGTTCTTTGTTTATTATAAAGAAAACAAGTTGTTATGTTTTATTTATTAAATAATGTTATTTTAGTGTCTGTTGAGAGGAAAGTCAGAAGAAAACGTCATCGTTCAGTTTGATTTGTGAAAAAATGTATTCAAAAAACGAAATAAAATACTGCTTTAAACGGGAATCGAACCCAGGTCTTTTTTCAGCGAACCCACAGCCCTTACCATTGAACCCAGACCTCTTTTGTTACTGGGTTCAGCATGATATATTTATATAGCTGTGGTAAATTTTTCAATACAAATACAGGGTTTCGGAAAAAGTCACTGGGTTCGCCCAAACCCGCACCCACTACTGTACCTTCGCCCCTGGTGATGTTGAGACTCATCTGCTTGCTCTGATATCATGTTGAAATATGTGACCGTTTAAGTTGTTAGAAATGATACTCTTTTATTTATTTTGTATTATCTTCATCATATAGTAATGCCAATATTAATTCAACTCGTCAAAGTTGAGATTTAAGTATGTTTGGTACGATGAATTCACTTTTCATGGAAAATGCTTTCATGAATAATGTTTTACATGGAGAATAATAATTTTGAAAAGATACATATTAACGATTAATAATAATATTAGCAAATCGAAGAATGTTTTGATGAAAATTTTGAATAATAAAGATTTATTACAATGTCAACGTGTTAGTTTGAGCAAATAATTTAAAGTTAAAATTCAAGATAGTTGTAAGGAAAATGACCTCCATCGATTAGTGAGGGAAGTCATTTTTACCCGGTTGATGGACAATATTTTCCTTGGACACCACTTTCCAGTAACCGCACACCATAAAATGACTTCCTCAGATCATTTTCCTGAAAAGTTACTACTGGCATACCAAAAACGCCCTCAAAGAACTGTCACTTTTTCTGTAGATCATTTTGTGCCATTGTTTTGAAGCGCACACTTCTCTGGAGCGCATGCCTTCACCCGTGAAGCAATTCACTTCGCATTGTTTCATCACTTTAAGCGATGGCTTTTAAAAAAACTCGCCAGGACTCATGGAGATGGATTGATGGAGGGCAATGAGAGATTGGATGTTCCCTGTCAAGTCATACTACCATAAGTCGCTGCTAAGACAGGAATCAGTCTTCTCGCATATATCAGTGTGGATACTTAGAGCACCAAGAAAGGTGTGTTTACTGTGAGGGGAGCAATCCTGACAGTCGAGAACCTAAGAAAGCATGGGTTACATACATCAGTTGGTATTTCATGAGTAAATGCTCAGACGAAGATATGGACCATCTCTGTTACACTGCAAGGTGGAAACATGGTTGCGGTGATAAGTACTAAAGTGGTTCAGTGAACAGGGGAAGATGCCAAACAGTGAAGGACATGTTACACAGTTGGGCCTATGAGAGACAGAAGAGAAGATGCAAGGCATGGGATGTCCCTCCACTTGCACTGATGTGGATCCTCTGGAAGGACAGACTACGAGAGCTTGATGGAGTAGAAACTGATTTTTAATTTGTACACTCAAGGTATAATGCTTTGCTGTGATTTTTTTTTCTTGTTGCACCAATAAGGCACCTGTTTGTATAGAAGATGGGGTTCAATTTGTAGAGAACCATGTTTTGCGTAGTGTTCTCTACTCTTTGGTATACTACTCATAAACGGGAGATTCTCTAACTTCAATGAAATTACTTTACTTCAGCAAATAAGTGGAACTATGTTGTGTGTGATTGGAATGATGGGCTGATGTAAGGTTTGCTAATCTGGATGGTCTGGTACAGAGGACACTCTATTGAATTTCCGACAAGGCAAAGGGTAGGCTTGCTAGGTGGGCTTAGCCTCACATAGCAACAGTCACGGCTTCCATGTTGGGTTGTGACACCGTTACACGGCCAACAACAATCTACAAAAAGAATTAGCTAATTTTAGCTGAGCATGATTACCTGAGGTGCATAGACACAACCAAGTGTGCCAACAATTAATCCTCCCAAAACAAAGCCACCAATAAAGAAGCCACCATTGCTTGGCCTTCCACCATCACTGCCATTTAACAAGAATAATTATACAATGAAATATTTTCTCCAATCAGCGGTAAGTAAAACTCCCATAAACAAATTGACAAAAATCCGATTTAACACCAAAAGAGAAGCACCAATAATTTCAGTTCATATCTTGCATAAAACTAGAGCACGTGACGAATAAATACCTATATCTCGCTTGAATAGACAATGATCTTCCAGATGAAGATGGTTTTGCTCCACGCCTGGCGCTGAAGAACAGCTTGGTGGAACAGCCACTTTCGTCAATTGATTTCAAAGGAGAACCTAACACATCAATAAAGTTAATAGGTTTGTATATCATAACCAGGTGAGGTTAGGGAAGTAGAGAGGAAACTATTAAAGCTATATATGATCTTCTCGTGCATTCATTAACCAATCATATTTGAGAGAAAAACTGTTACCTTCACACTGCTCATGAAAACGATTGATAAATAAGCAGACAGTACATTTGAAACAAAAAACTTTCCTTCACGGTTCTACTTCTATGCTGAAACAGTTGAAAATGCATAAAATGAACTTCAAATGCCATGATCCCTTATTCCAATCGTTTATGATGAGCTCTTCTATACTTAATTGGCTAGCAGCTGCTATGTTGCGTTTAGTGTAAAACATCATTTATCATGCATGCTCATTCAAATCAGAATCCCATTCAACCAATGATATTGCTTGGTAAAGAATATTAACTACGATAAGAAAAAACAAAAAAATGTAGAAAAAGTCAGCTAAGGCTTTATTAATAGGAGGATCCACTAGTGTCATGGAAGGTTAAAAATTGAAAATTGCTTTAGAAACTTCTAACTGTAATTGAAAGGAGTACTTATATCAAAACAACACTATGTTATAACTCAATTTGAATACAGAGAACATGAGAAAGATGCTAGAGGTTGGATTCCCCTTCAGGGGAGGAGCCAACATGTTGCCTGCGGGTTCGGTTGAACCCAGTAGCTTTGGTTCAAATCATGTACTTTTCCTAAAAATTTGATTGAATATGTATAAATTATTAATTTAGTAACTTAAAAGAATTAGAATCCCAAAACCATAAGCTTCAAATCATAGCTCCGCCACTGTTCTCCAACAACAACAACAACAATAACAAACCCAATGTAGTCCCACAAGTGGGTCTTGGGAGGGCAGAGCGTACGCAGACATTACCCCTGCCTTTAAAAGGGAGAGAGGTTGTTTCCGGTAGAAACTCAGCTCAGGGAGCCGCCTCGGTTCTCCTTTTCATAAATTAATTAGTTCATGTCCATTTAACGAATTTTACCTTACCAATTTCAGTGCATGTTCCATGAAAATCCAAAAACAATCCATGAACAATGAAAAACGTAGCTACTCATAACTTTATGCTTTTAAACTTTCCCAACATGTGGAAGAAGAAGAAGAAGAAGAATCAGATAGATATTATTGCCCTTTATCAAAACTCCACAATGTGCTGCAACATTTCTTTAAGCGCTAATTGATACGTACGGAAGAAGAACATAAATGTATAAAAAAAAAGAAGATATTCCTAATTATCTTACATGTAGTACATACGGAGGCCGATTGATGGATAAAAGAAGCTCAATAGGTGCTATAATGGGGACCAAATTAAAAGTAATGAAAACAAATAGATAGGTTTCAAAAAGAAGGGAGTGGAAAATAATTACCAGATGATAAATGGGGGCTTTTGGATATAAGCAGCGAATTCGAAAGAGTCGTCATCCAGTGAGTATATGAGAGTTACCGAACAAAGAAGTGAAGAAGCGACGGCCGAGAAGTAAAAAGGAAAAGTAGAGAGTGAGGTGATATTATTGTTTTCCCTTCGATGAGAACAATGCTGGCTAACATGGTTAACCACGGACGACCCATGGACATTTGCGTCACTACCAATGAAATAAAATTTTGGGGCGATTATAGTCCAAGATATTTGTATCTTGAAGTTTGAATGAAAAAAAACAACTTAAGATACAAAAACAAAAAACTTGAAGTTTGACTTGGAAAAAAATATGAGCTTAAGGAGACAATGTTTTAAATTGAAAAAACTGATTGACAAAGGATGAAAAGTGCATGTTTTGAGTGTGTTTGTGTGTTATTTAGTGCCCGAGTTGTGGGAGTTCACATTGCTTTTGAAGTGAAAATATGCTCGTTTCTTATGTATATGGATAAACTTGCGCGGAAAAGGATCTAATGGGAGAAAAATTGGTGAAAAAAGAACTGAAGAGAAAAGTCATGGACAACGAAGCGAGGTTCACTTCGCCAGATCGGGACCGAAGCAAAAGAAATCAAGAAAGTCTCGGACATCGAAGTGAGGGTCACTTCGCCAGACCAGGACCGGAGCAGAAAAATCAGCTTTTCCAATCCGAATTAGGAGAAGCCAATTCGGCCCAACTCAACCCTAAACCATATAAATATGAAAGTTAGCCACTTTTTGAAGGGAGAGAAGACTTTGGAGAGGCAAGAACACGCTTGAAGCAAGGAGAAGGATTCAACTTCACGTTTTCCCCCCTCTTTCTTCCTAATTTTCCATTGTTATGAACTCTAATCTTGTTTTTGTGCAAACAATTATGAGTAGCTAAATTCCCATCTAGGTTTTGATAGAACCTCTTGAAGGATGACTTTTTCACTACGTTTAATATGAATTTGCTATTTACTTTTCTCTACTTGTATAACTATATGATTATTGTGGTTGATTGAAGGGCCCTCAATTGACTATGCTTATTTAGTGTGTATTGCTTAGAAAAGGATAGTTGTTGACCAATATCACTTCTAATGTATATGAGGAATCAATACGGAAGGTTTAAAGGTGGGGTTAGGAATAACAAAACCTTGTTGCGATCTTAGTGAGCGTTGAACTAGTGCCAACTAGTGTAGTTCGGAAGAATGTGTCTAGTAAATTATTGTATTTGCTCGTAAGAGAATTACAGCACCTAAAGTCCTCACGATCGGTAGAGAATATTTAGGCGAATATATATGAGACGTGGCGGGGAGGTTTTCGACGAGAGGGGAAATCGTAATCGTAGACTTTTTCAATCTTGTCTACAACATTTGCTTTGTTAGTATTCAAATTACAGCTTTTTAATTACCTTGATTTTAGTTAGTAAACAATCAACTCATTATTCAATATTTTCTGAAGGTTGATTACTTGAATTCTTGCGAAACTAGTGGTTGTGATTAGTAGGTTAATTCCCTGTGGGATTCGACTCCGAACTTGTAAACCGAATTATATTTACAACGACCGCTAGACCTCTTAGGAGGCATAATTGGGCGTGATCAAATTTTGGCGCTGTTTCCAGGGATTAACGGTGTTATTAATTACAGCTAGAAGAATAGCTAGAATTCGTATTTTAGATAGCTTTCGCGACTTGAAATTCATTATATTGAAACTCTAATGTTTGTAGTCTTGTATGTTACAGGTGCATGCCTAGAATTGGTAAATTGTACGAAGCATTACAGGAACCTAAGAAAGCTTTCAAGGCACTAAATCGAGCAAACAAGAAAGACAAACGACAACAGAACTCAATATAATGAATTGAACTAGACATGGGGGATGTCAATGACAATCAACATAACAGAAACATTGTGAATGACCCGAACAAGGCACCTCTTATGCCAGAAGTAGCCTTGTATGATTGGGCACAATCCATCGTTAAAAATCTGGCAACTGCAATTACAGTCCCTCAGATACAAATGGAATCATTTCAAATCACAAACAACATGCTACATTTGTTGCAGAACAAGAGACTGTTCTCGGGGTCTTACATTGAAGATCCTCAGCAGCAACTGAAAAATTTTCTATCGATTCGTGTCACGCAAAGGCAATCAAATGTGACACCGGAAGCAATAAGGTTGTTGTTGTTTCCATTCTCAGTGACGGGAGAGGCTTAGACATGGCTAAATTCGCTCCCCATAAACTTCAGCACTACTTGGGAGGAATTACTCAAGCAGCTCTTGAACAAATTCTACCCACCTAGTAAGACTGCCAAGCAAGTTGATGAGATCTTAAGCTTTAGGCAGAAACCAACGGAAACAATGCAAGAAGCGTGGGAGAGATTCAAAGGGATGCTGGTTAAGTGTCCACACCATGACATTCCGGATAAGATATTGGGACAAAGGTTTTATATAAGGATTGGAAGACAGCTTGAAAGCCAACATTGACGCTTTAGCAAGTGGAGCATTTTTTAGCAAATCATTTAGAGAGTGTAAGGTTTTGCTTGATAAAATAGTTCAAAACTCAAGATGGATGACAAGGGACTTTACAATCACTACGGTAGTTCACTCAATAGACCTAGACCGAAACAACTCCATAACTAAGAATATGGCTTTTGTGATGATGCAATTGAGTATCCTCACTAAAAAGATTGATGAGGCAGGCCAAAAGCAGGTGCACATAGTTGACACGAATAATGGAGGCTGATGCATATCATGCATTAACCAACCATATGTGTGCTCGTAGAGTGGTGAAAGTGACACTCAAAACTATCAAGAGAATATGAACTATGTGGGCAACTATAGAGGCCAGAGGCAAGGTGGTCAGAATTGGGGGTAGCAGAATTAGTAGTATAGACCAGCACAACAGCAGTGCAATAACAACAACAATCCTGGAGCTATGTGACCACAGGGTCAAGTCGTGCCTTACCAAAGGCAACATGGATACAATCAACAAAATCAGCAACTAGCTTATCAACAGCCTCAACAACAACAGATAGTGAGACACGATGATGGGTTGTCTAAAATTAAAGGAATACTGCAACAATTGATCGGGTCTAATGGAAAAATGCAAGAGAAGGTTGAAGCACATGACTCAATGATAAAAGCCATTGAGATTCAATTAGGGCATATATTTATGGCTTTGAATAATCGTCCCTAAGGGACACTACCTACGGACACACATGTCAGTCCGAAAGAGCAGGGCCAACACAGCTAATGGCGGTGAGTCTGAGAAATGGTAGAGATCTTGATTTAGAGCAAGAAATTGCTCGCGAGAATCGACCAACTGAGATACTTGTTCCGGTACCAATTAAGGTAAATGAGTCAACTAAGCTAACTAAAGTAAGAGTGCAGCCAAACCAAGAGGAACTGAATAAAGAAAAAGAGGTTACAAATGAAACTGAGAAAGTGCAAGAAAAGGCATTAGAAAAAGTGTCTGATCAATATCTAAGTCAAGTCACAGGAAAGAAGAGGCCGCCAGCACCCTTCCTACAGAGGTTGGCCAAATATTAGAAGGATGAGCAATATAAGAAATTCATGGAGACGTTGAAGTAGATTCAGGTGAACATTCTATTGATTGATGTCTTAAGGGAGATGCCCGATTATGCAAAAATGATAAGTGACTATCGCAAGTTCGACTTTCAAGACTTGGCAACTATGACGCTGACTCAGACATGTAGTGTTGTTATAACAAGACATATAGCGGAGAAGCTATACGACCTAGGAGTTTCACAATTATGTGTAGCATAGGCAGCTATGCTTTTGCCAAAGCATTATATGATTTGGGGTCGAGCATAAACCCGATACCCTTATCTATCTATAAAAGGTTAGGCATTGGAAGGGCAATACTCACATCCATGTTACTACAGCTACCCGACTGAACGGTTAAGAGGCCATCAAGTATTTATGGTTGGCTTGCCTAACAGAGGTGTCCGGCGCCATCACGACCCTTAGTGAATTTTGGGTCGTGACAAATTGGGGTTTTAAAAGCGGTACGATAGGCCCAAAGTGCATCATCTAACTTTCTTGCCCAATCTGTTCTTGTAGCATTCACGACCTTTGTCCAACACTCTTTATCTCTCTGTTTGACACCTCCACTTGCCTGCTTGTTTGTGGGTGATATGTGGTGGCAACCTTGTAGCGAACACCGTATTTTTCTAACAACTTTGTGAAAGCTCGATTGCAGAAGTTAGTGCCTCCATCACTGATTATTGCCCTTGGAATGCCAAATCGGGTAAATATATTCTTTCTCAAAAAACCAATGACTCCTTTTGCATCTTTTGTAGGGAGTGCCACAACTTCCACCCATTTTGACATATAGTCCATAGCTACAAGTATGTACTTGTTGCCATATGAGATGATGAAAGGCACCATGAAATCGATTCCCCATATGTCAAACACTTCCACTTCCTGAATTGGGTTCATGGGCATCTCATGTCGGCGAGAAATATTCCCAGTCCGTTGTCATTCATCACAACCCTTCACCTAGAGGTGTACATCTTTGAACAATGTCAGCCAGTAGAAGCCCGACTCTAACACTTTCTAGGTTGTCCTTACTCTTCTGAGGGCCACCATATGAGGATGCGTGACAAGCCTACAAAACAGAAGATTGGTCTGTCTTGGGGATACATCTTCGTAACATGTTATCAGCATACATACTGAATAGATAAGGCTCATCCAAATATTACATGCGACAATCACAAAAGAACTTTTTCTATTGGATAGAGGAAAGGTCATAGGGGACAATGCCGCTCGCCAAGTAGTTTGCATTGTCTGCATACCATGGCACTACCTCAAGGCTCGTGGCCAACAGTTGTTCATCCGGGAAAGTGTCCAAAATTTCTTCTACCTCAACCTTCTTCTCTGCTCTTTCCAGCCTAGACAAATGATCAACGACTAGGTTCTCCATTCCCTTTCGGTCACATATTTCCAAGTCAAATTCTTGCAATAGTAGCAACCATTGAATCAGGCATGACTTTGACTCCTTCTTCTCAATTAGGTACCTGAGAGCAGCATGGTCAGTATAAACAATTACCTTCGAGCCTACCAGGTATGACCTGAATTTGTCAAATGCGAACACCATTAGGAGCATCTCCTTCTCGGTCACTGTATAATTTAGTTAGGCACTACTCAAGGTTCTACTTGCATAGTAGATTTTATGCATGACTTTATCTTTCGCTGCCCAAGAACTGCTCCCACAACATAGTCACTTGCCTCACACATCAGCTCAAAACGTTACTCCCAGCTATGTGCCACTATAATTGGTACAGTCGCCAACCTCTTCTTCAACTCCTCAAAAGCTACCTTACAGTCATCAGAAAACACAAAGGGGTGATCTTTTTCAAGCAATTTACATAAAAGGTTAGTAATTTTTGAAAAATCCTTTATAAACTACTTGTAGAAGACGGCATGACCAAGAAAACTTCTTATGTATTTTATGTAAGTGGTTGGAGGTAACTTCTCAATTACATCAACCTTAGCACGATCCACCTCAATGCCCTTACTTGACACTAGGTGTCCCAAGACTATATCTTCATGTACCATAAAATGACACTTTTCCCAGTTCAGTACCAGATTAGTCTCCATACACCTCTTCAATACTCTTTTCAATTTCATTATGCACTCATCAAATGAGTTCCCCACCACTGAGAAGTCATCCATGAAAACCACCATTATATCCTCTACCATATCTGGGAAGATGGACATCATGCACCTTTGGATATATGGCGGGTGCATTGCATATACCAAACAACATTCTCTGAAATGCATAGATGCCATACGGACAGGTGAACAATGTTTTCTCTCTATCCTCGGAGGCAATAGAGATCTGGTTATACCCCGAGTATCCATCCAGGAAGCAAAAGTGGGACCTTCCTACCAATCTATCTAACATTTTATCAATGAAAAATAGTGGGAAATGATCTTTTTGGGTGGCCTTATTCAACCTTCTGTAATCCATACAAATTCGCCAGCCTATGACTATTATTATTGAGATCAATTTGTTGTTCTCATTTTGCACTACAATCATTCCATCCTTCTTTGGCACACATTGAACATGGCTAACCTAGTTGCTGTCAAAGATGGGGAAGATGATTCCCGCATCCAACCATTTGATCACTTCTTTCTTCACCACTTCTTTTATGTTAGGTTCAACCTTTTTTGATGTTCTCTGGAAGGTTTGTGCCCATCTTCCAGTAGAATCTTATGCATACAAAATGTTAGGCTGATACCCTTTATATCTGCAATGGTCTACCCAATTGCAGTTACACTTCTTTAAAACCTGCAAAAGTTGTTCTACCTGCACATCTAACAAACCAGATGAGATAATAACAGGTAATGTCGAACTAGGTCCTAAGAAAACATACCTAAGGTGAGACGGTAACGATTTTAGCTCCAACTATGGTGGCTCTACAATTGATGGCTTAGCTGGAGGAGTCTTTCTTTCTTCTAAGTGTAAAGGCTCGACTTCGAGCTCTCTTTTCCAATACCCTTGGCCTTCAAGAGCCAAGACCTACTCCGCCAAGTCCTCACCATATACCTCTTCTAAGTTTATCAGGCAGACTGCTAGAGGGTTTTTTTGCGTTGAGTGCCTTATCTTCCTCCTCCAGAATCACATCCACAACTTCAATCAGAGAGCAGTTAGCGTACTCACTAGGTCGGCGCATAGACTTCTGCATGTTGAACGTTATTTCTTCATCATTTAGTCTCATCTTTAGCTTCCTAGTTTCACAGTCAATCAGAGCTCTTCCTGTGGCCAAGAATGGCCTCCCCAAAATTATAGGGATCTCTTCATCAACTTGGCAGTCCAGAATGACAAAATTGCCGGAAACACAAACTTTCCAACCTGCATAAGTACATCATCAATTCTCGTTTAAATAATTGTGAAAACTATGATTTTCCTTCAATTTGGCTAGTAAAAGATAATCTTTACAAAATAAAAATAAAAAGAATGTTTAGAAGTTAATATAGAATACCCCATAATCAACTTAGAACCTGGTATCACAAGTGCATGAGTAATTTCTAGCAAATAATGTAATACAACAACTGTCTGAAATACAATTGGACAGAAAAGAAAATATAGTACAATACTCTAAAAGAGACTCTGCTGGCTGCGGATCATCTCGAGAGGTGCAGCTCCCCTAAGTCCCTGTATCAACCATGCCGATGCGCCCAACTAGGCCACTAGACTTACATGCGTTTGTCCAACAAAAATGCACAGCAAATGTACTATGAGTACGAAAATAATATGTACCCAGTAAGTATCCCATCTAACCTCGAAGAAGTAGAGATGAGAGGTCGATTTTGACACTTACTAGTGGTCCAATAATAATATATTAATAAGGTAAATAATCATGAATTTATTAGAAACTGTAGTAACTCAAGTAAATCAAGAAACAAGTAAGCAATCCTTTTTATATTTAGAAATTTCCAAATTAATAATCCATGGTCTATCAATTTATCTTAGACCATGGAGGCAATTTCATTAATTACAAATTTTCCAAGAAAGCAATACAAGCATGCGCAAATCATGTCGAGGTCGTACGGCCCGATCCAATAATATTTAAATTGTGCACTACCGGAGGGTCGAATGATGCAAACCATATATGCATCCATTACCCCCCTCGCGAATCATACATGCGACACGGTCAAATATAAATAAACACAGCAAACAGTCAATCAAAAATTCATCAGGGAGCAATTATTTAAGGAAAAACAATTTCTCTTTTAAAAATCAAGAATCGATGTCCAGTCTTTTAGAAATTCATTTTACACGTTCGATATGTTTTAAGCATTTTAAATTGACAACAAGATTTCAAATATTGCAAGTCAAGCATGTTTTTGGGTCCTAGACTACCCGGACTTAAGCATAATAGTAGCTACGCACGAACTCTCGTTACCTCATACGTACGTAGCCCCCCCACAAATAGAAGCACAAATCCAATTAATTAATCTATAGGGACAATTCCCTCTTACAAGGTTAGAAAGGAGACTCACCTTGCTCCGAAGTTCCATAACCGGCATTCCACGCCCTTCCGAAGACTCAAATCGATGCACAATGCTCCAAAACTAGCCAACAATTATGTAAACATATTAATTACTCATAATAACCCAATTTATAATAATTTCTAATCCAGATCAAAAAGTTGACAAAATCTCCCTTGGGCCCACGTGCCCGGAGTTCGAAATTTTTCGAAGATAAAGTTTACCCACAAGCTCACGAACTCAAATATATAATTTGCTCTCAATTTCATGTCCAAAATCATGGTCAAAATTCAAGAATACAAATTTCCTAGATTTTCTTTAAAATCCCAAAATTCCTATTAATTTACATGATTTTCCATGTTAAAATCTAGATATAATCCAAGTAATTAACTTGCAATAGGTGGGAATCACTTACCTTGACATAGATGATGAAGATGGAGCTCCAAAATCGCTCCTAGGTCAGCTCCCATGGAGGAAATGAGATGAAATGAGCCAAACCCATTTCTTTACACTTATACACTTCCCAGACGACTCTTCTTTGCGTTCGCGAAGAAGAAAATTCCCAAAAACCATTTTCCAAACTCTTCTCAGACAACCTCTAGTATAATGGCCATAACCTTTTTTTATAAAACTCCAATTAACAAATGGTTTACTGTTTTGAAAACTAGACACCAGGATCTACAACTTTTATGTTTTGGTAATCTCCCAATTCCTTATAGATTTTGAGATATAAGCTTCCAAATTCAGCTCTGTGCAACACAAATTTCTTCTTCATCTTCCTGGACATCCTGTAGTGTACCAGCTATAACTTTTTGTACACAAATCCAAATGCTAAATAGTTTACCTTTTGTGAAAACTAGACACAAAGGCTACAACTTTTACTTTTGAATCATCTCCAAATTATTTATAGATTGCAAGATATGAGCCTTCACAGTCAGACCTGTGCAATAGAGATTTCCTTCTTCGCGAACGCGAGGATCTCTTCACGAACGCGAAGAATAAAGTCCCTGAAGCCAAATCCTCCATCGCGAATGCGAGAGGATCCTCGTGAACATGAAGAACAACACCAGACACCAGCATCAGCTATTGCAAAACAACCCGAAATGATCCGAAATCACCCCGAAATACAACCGAGGCCCCCGGGGCCCCGTGCAAACATACCAACAAGTCCCACAACATAACACAGACCTGCTCGAGTCCTCAAATCACATCAAACAATGCTAAAATCATGAATCACACTCCAATCCAAGCTTAATAAACTTTAGAATTTCAAACTTCTATATTCAATGCTGAAACCTATCAAATCACGTCCGATTGACCTCAAATTTTGCACACAAGTCATATTCGACATTACGAACCTATTCCAACTTCCAAAATCCGAATCCGACCCCGATATCAAAAGGTCCACTTCCAGACAAACTCCTCAAAAACCTTCAAATTTCTATCTTTAGCCAAATGACTCCAAAATAACCCACGGACCTCTAAATTCACTTCCGATCGTGCTCCCAACATCAGAATCACCATACAGAGCTATTTCTAGACTCGGAATCCCAAACGGACATCAGTAACAATAAAATACACTTCAACCCAAACTTATGAAATTCTTTCAAAAATGCCAACTTCCACAATAGGTGTCGAAACGTTCCCGGGTCTTCCAAAACCTAATCCGAACATACGCCCAAGTCTGAAATCGTCATACAAACCTGTTGGAAACTTCAAATCCTGATTCCGAGGTCATTTACTCAAAAATCCAATCTTAGTCAATTCTTCCAACTTAAGCTTTCGAAATGGGAATTCTCTTTCCAAATCAACTCCGAACTTCTCGGAATTCAAATCCAACCATGCGTAAAAGTCATAATACCTAAAGTGAAGCTACTCATGACCTCAAACTACTTAACGACACGCTAGAGCTCAAAATGACCGGTCGGGTCATTACACAATTGGCATGTCTCCATATAAACTAGTGTTTGGGAAAGCGTGTCACTTATCCGTAGAGTTAGAGCATAGATCTTTGTGGGTATTAAGGCAGCTGAATCTCAAAGTGGAAATAGCGGGTACACGTAGAATCACAGAGTTGCACGAGCTTGATAAGTTATGCTACCATGCTTTTGAGAGTACAAGGCTATATAAGGAGGGAATGAAGATGATGCATGACAAAAATATTCTTGAGCAAAATCTTAAACCTGGAGATATAGTATTGCTATACAATTCGAGATTGAAGTTGTTTCTAGGCAAGCTGAAGTCAAGATGGCCAGGACCATTTCGTATAGTAAAGATGCATCCCGCCAGAGCCGTACAAATTACATCAGAAGATGGCTCCCGCAAGTTCAAAGTTAACGGGCAAGAGCCAAAACATAATCAAGGCATGGTTAAGAAAGATAAATTAATCTCAACCATGTACCTAAAGAATCCGGATAGCCCGAGTCATGCCGCGACATTAAATCAGGCGCTTCATGGGAGGAAATCTATTGTAATGCTATAAATTCGTCGTGCCGCAACATTAAATCAAACTCTTGTTGGGAGGCAACCCAATTTTCTTATTTTCATCAAGTTGTCATTTAGTAAAGGGGCGTGTCTCCAGGTCGCGCGTCACATTGTCCTGGCGCGACCCCAGGTATTTTTTATTATTATTTTTTCCTTTTTTATTTGTTATATTAATATATAATAAGAAAATAAATTTAAAAATGGAGAAAAGCACCAAAAACAAAAAGGAGAAATTAACCCTTCCCTTATTTTTATTCCTTTCACCGGTGCCCACTATACCCCTACCATTTCCCGTTTTTTTCAGCAATTCCTCCGCCAGATAAGCCCCCCATGCTCTCAGTTTTTTTCATTTTTTTTGTGTCTTCTTCTTTTTATGGTCGGTTCTAGTAGTTGTTTTCATTAGGTTAGTTAGTTTTTGTTTTCTTTGTTTCTTTCTCTCTCTCTCTAGTTGTGTTGTTGGTTAGGTGGTAGGATGATTAATGATTTTTTTGAATGGTGGATCATATTTTGCTCCAAAAATTTGTTGGTGGTTATGCATAGTGAGGTGGAAAACTACAATTCCCACCACCTCAATCTAATTAGGAGGGTACACTATTGGGAAATTGAACTAAAGAAGCTTAACAAAAGTTGTGCACGTAAAGTGTTCGATGAATTGCCCGAATAAAAGTTTTGGTGAGGTTTCGTGAATTCTGAATAGCTAACCTACCTCAATTAACAATACAAGCATATCTTAAGTGTGGGGTAGCCGTTGGGTGTCCTATGAACTAAATTGTGCTCTTTCTAAAACAAGTGTCATCCGCGGCCAACTTCAGCATATAGTGAACTAATGTTGTTTCTTGGATCTTTCCAGGTACTATGACCACCTCCAAGACACCTACAAGTAACCATGGTAAGGGTAAGCTACCCTTAGAGAAGCATTCCAATAAAATAGGGGCACAGACTAAGCGTTCTACTGAGCTTAAAATAAAGACAAGGAACGATAGGGATGCACGAGAAATTTCTGAAGCAATACAACAGGAAGTGCAGCGCACACGATCGTCTAGGTCGAGAGAAGTACCACTCTTGATTCGTGAAGGAGCTTCGAAATCACCCAAGTCTAAGAAGAGCAAGTTGGTTGATGTGCAAGGGTGAGGCAAAGCTGTAGTCAATATGAAACCTAAGTATGAGGAGGACTGGTCCGATGAAAGGGAGTATGTAGATGTTGATTGACCTGAGGGTAATGGTGAACCTTGTGAACTAGTGGATGACTCAGTATGGAATAAGAACTTTGTTAGCAAGAAGACATGGCTACATTAGCAGACACTTAAAGGAAAGCAAGTCAACCCAACTTTGTTCGAGAGGCCGTTGAATTTTGAGGTTGTCGAGAAAGATTTCTTGTCGATCGTGCAAAAGATTGAAAGGAACAGTGGGACATTTTTCTCAGGGATCCAAGGGTGCGGATGTGACACCTGTATAGGAATTATATGCTAATTGGGATCCAGAAAAAGGTGATGATATCATCTGGGTCCGCGGTGGTAAGGTTTACATCTCTCCCAATGCAATCAATAAGCCTTACCGTATTTTATTCCAATATTATGATGAGTATTTACAACAATTTAAGAAGCCATACTAGCACCGCATGTTGCAACTAATATCTGATCCAATGATGGAGCCGTCGTGGACCAAAACCAGAAGTTTGGGAAAGGGATGCATGACTAGGGAGACTAGGACTTGGTTGAACTAGGTGAGTAACAAGTTAATGCTAGCGATGCATAAATCGATTGTATACCTGTGAATCTTGGGGAGGTGATGTGGAGTTAGATGCATCAAACATTAGGTAACCAGCAACTTCGCCTTCATTTTGTGCACACCTTGACCACACTCATGGCCAAATGTAAGTTAGCCAGACCTGGAGATGATATTAGAGTTGGCACTGAAGAAGCATTGCATGATATCTGTGATGTGTCAGACCCAAATGAGGAGAGATTCCAGAGAATCAATAAGGATATGTGGTTCACAATAATAGAGAGTGAGATACACCAGTTGACACTGGAGTTAGAGGCTCGAGATCCCGCACCTGATGCACCAGAGTCCAGGGAGCAAAGGATGTAGTCTCACTTTGCACACTTAGTTTCTGTCTTTAAATGTACCATGCCAACCTGTTCTAT